TAAACTCTCGCTGCCTCTGGCGAGAGCCTCGAGGAAGAAGACGTAGGGACGACCCGACCACCAGCAGTTGCAACCACGGTCGCAAATCACGACTTATGCGTCTGTACCGAGCAGGTAAAGATCCTTCGGGTCATCGAATACGCCTCCGCAACCGCTCGATACTCCTTCCTCGGGATTAGCTTGCTTCCTTGCATACCCTCCTCCACTCCATGATTCTTAGGATACACGAATTTTTCTCCTCGATTCCATCGTTTTGAATCTGTGCTGCTTGATTGGAGACGTGGAACAACCTTTGTATCCAAACGTATCGGGTATATATATATATATATATATATATTTATATGGTTCAACGTTTTTTTTTTTTACAATATGGTGATCGGTTGGTTCGAGGTGGATGCGAGAGAAAAACGGGGTTGGTATCTGAGACGCGTGACACGAGTGTTTCGAGGCAAGAAGTCGTAATTATTACCATTTTTGTCCATTAGTTTTTTGTTCATTGAACTGGGATCTCTTGAAATGTGCTATTGTTCGTTGGCGTGGCCTGTTTGCCGTACACATTCTCCGATGTACGTCAAGTAAGTAGTCTTGAAAGATTCTAGAAAATGGATTAGATTCCTCTTGCGAACGTCTTGAATATCGCCATCTTCTTTACTGTCAACAATTTCTAGAAGTTTCTCTAAAAGTGATTCTGGTAGCAGTTTTTCAAAATTGATAAAATTCATTTATAAGTATCAAACTGCGCTTCGATCACTTCAATCTTTTCTTCAAATCACGATAAAGTTGAACGTCGCGACGAAGAACTTCTTATTTTCGAATCAGCGACGCAGTTATGATTACCACCGTTAATCACTGTCGCGGTCGGTTTCCATTCATCGAGAATCTTCCGCGAGAGAGCCCCTTCTCTTCTCCTCTGTTTGCTCCATGAGTAGCGTAACGTGCATTGACGTGACCTCTTTGCGCACTCTGTGACACGATGCAACGTGACAAACTACACTCCCTGCTTTCTCGAATCTGGAATACCAAACTTCGTACGTTCGACTGTCTTATTCGGATCGTTATCTTAATTGTCGTTCCGTGCGTCGTTATCGCTAAAAATTTCATCTTGTCTCATCGTAATGGAAATGTAAAGTACACGTTTTCCGTTGCATTCATGGGAATATCACGACCTATACACGGATATTACGTATTATCTTCGTTGTGTAAAATAATCGAAGAAGTTTTACGTAATAATTCCAACGGAGAAAGAAGTCTCGATTCAACTACGCTACGAATTAGTAAATTCTTCCTAGTTTTCGAACGATCTTGTGGAAGTTGGAAACTTTAAAAGATCGTTATTTAATTCCTCAGGAAAATCTATGAGAGTCCAAGAAACTCGCATGCGAGTTTTAAGTTTATTATAAATGAATACAACGAATTGGAATATTTTTATCTGTTTCGATGTTTGTTGATTTGTCAATTGATAAATCTACGATATAAACAATTGTATAGGAATGCAAATGGAAGAAGGAAGTGAGTGAACGCGATACCATTTTGAACAATTTCTCTTACGTTTTCCGGTTTCTCTTTATTTTCTTTTGTTTTTTT